AGAAATGACCTTTTATCTTGTGAACTATTGACATTTTTTAAGATATATAAACTCATTCCAATGTTACACTTATCAAGATCTTTCATTTAAGTACCCACATCATTTTTTCATATATTTATATATATTATATAAATGTATATATGAATATAAAAAAATATATCAAAAATGCATGTGGGTACTCAAATGAAAGCTCTTGATAAGTATAACATCGGGATGAGCTTATATCTTTAAAATATATATTATATATATGTATATATGAAAAATATATCAAAAATGCATGTGGGTACTCAAATGAAAGCTCTTGATGAGTATAACATCAGAATGAGCTTATATCTTTAAAAATGTCAATATTTAAAAAAGTACAGTGCAATTTAACAAAAGTTATGTCTATGATTTTTCTAAGTTTATTTTAAGAAAATAATAAAATTCCACATTAAATAAAATGACAATTTTTTAAAATTTTTATAAATAAATTATAAAAAAGACATATGCAATTTTTTTTTAAACTTTTATATGTGCAGTTTTTTTTTAAATAATTTGTAAAAATCCAAAATTGACAGATGTTAATAAAATAAAAGATACTTACTTTTGTTTCAGAACAAACAACCAACTGGCCATCAGTGCTCAACAATCTAAACAAAGGCCTAACTCCATATGGATCACGTCCAATTAAAACTTTATTTTCCTGCATGTCCATAAGACAAAATGCAAAAACTCCGTCTAAATTATTGACAATATTTTTAGCACCTCCGTTCATGTACAAGTGAGTAATAATTTCAATATCACATTTTGATGAGTATGAAAAATTATATTTATCCCTGAGCTACAAAATAAAATTAATTAATTAATTTATAAAAATTAATTTTTTTTTTATTAAAAAAATGACTACAAAAAAAGTGCAATTTTTAAAGAATATTTTTTTGTTCTAATTTAATAATTAAAAACGTCAAAATAATTGAGTAAAAAAAATAACTTACTTGTTTAAAATTGTAAATTTCTCCATTACATATCAAAAATACATTTGGATATTTGTACAATCTCATTGGCTGCATACCACACAAACTGTCAAGAATTGTCAGCCGATGAAATCCCAAAAATGCGTTCTAAATAATTTAAAAATAATTATAAAAAAATGTAAATAATTAAATTAATATAATTTACCTTAATACGGCTGTCATTTTCAACTCGTAGAGCATCGGGACCTCGGTGAGAAATTTTATTAAAATTATTGCAAACACAATTAAGCGTTTCTCCTTCAACTCCAAAAACTGCCCAAATTCCACACATTTTATTGTATTTAAAACTTTTAAAATTTATTTTTTAAAAAACGAAGTGCGCTTAAGAACTGACGGTTAAAACTGAATTCAAATGAATTTATACTTTTTTTATTTACAATCCGGTAATGATGCAATTCAAGTGAACATTTGGTATATCCACGAGCGACCACGTTGTCAGATATTAAATTAGCGCCTGCGCAATAAATTTTTTTAATTTAATTAAATTAAATTCTTTTAATTTATAAAAAAAATTTATTAAATAATTTTAACAATTAAAAAATTTAATTAATTGTAATTTTTATAAAATTATTTAATTATTTAAAATAATTTATTAAAAAAAAATTAATGATATTTAAATTTCACGCGGATGTTCTGCGCATGCGCAAAAGTTTGAAATGGCAGCCTTTTTAGTTTTTTCAGTGAAACAAACGTCACAGCTTGTTTAACAATTAAAATATTGTTATTGTTATTAATAATAATAATAATTAAATTGTTTATTATTTTGACAATTGTTAAAAAGTTTGTATTGAGTAAATAATGATAATATTTATTATTAAATTTTTAAATAAAGTTCAATACAATTAATAAATAAACAAAATTAATAATTTTTAAGTAAATAATTTTTTTTTTTTAATAATTTATTGTAATTAATAATAATTATAAATTTTGTGATAAAAAAAAAAAATTAAACTTTTAAAAGAAAGTGATTATTATTGTCGGATAAAATAAAAATTTATTTTTTCGACTGAAGATAAATTTACATTAAAGAGAGCGTGATTATCTCGTGAATAAAGTGAACAAAAAAAAATATATTATATCACACACCGAAAAATCGAATTTTATTTCGGGGTCACAAAAAAAGTCTGCTCTTATATTCTCTATCTTACTCTCGTTTTATTCTCAGTTTTATTTTACTGTTGGACTGTATTATATATTTTAGATTAATTGAATCTGTAATTGTGATTTTTTAGATTAAAATATAAAAGTTTATTTTATTAAATTTAACAATGGCAGCACAATGGATACGCAAAGCTGTAAGTATTTATCCTATTACTTAATAATAAAAAAAAGGTTATTTCTATTTTTTTTTTATTAGAGGTTAAATTTGTGAAATTTATTAATTTATTTTTTTAAAGATCACACCAAAAATTGGCAATGTAAGGTTGTACAGTGGTGGATTAAAAAAGTGTACACTGATACCCGGTGATGGAATTGGACCCGAAATTTCAGCAGCTGTACAAAAAATCTTCGATGCTGCCAAGGTGAGTTTAATAATTTATCCAAGAATATTTTTTTTGTTAATATGTATCATAAGAGATTTACAATTCAAGATGGCGGAATTTTTTTAAAAATTAAAAATTACAAAAAAAAATTATTGAGAAACTAGCAACCTTGCAGTCACTACGTGACTGCCTTGTGAACTATGAATAAATAAAATTTTACTTTATTATTAAATAACGACTTTTGTTAAATTACACTGTACTCTCTTAAATATTGATGTTTTTAAAGATATAAGCTCACCCTGATGTTATACTCTTCAAGAGCTTTCATTTGAGTACCCACATGCATTTTCATATATTTTTCATATATACATATATATAATATATATTTTAGAGATATAAGCTCATCCCGATGTTACACTCATCAAGAGCTTTCATTCGAGTACCCACATCAATTTTTCATATATTTTATATATTTATATATAATATATATTGACATATATTATATATATGTATATATGAAAAATATATCAAAAATGCATGTGGGTACTCAAATGAAAGGTCTTGATGAGTGTAACGTCGGGATGAGCTTACATCTTTAAAAATGTCAATAGTTCTCAAGATACAAAGTAATTTCTTAACTGTCAAAAAACCCAGCCTTGTCCGGCATCAGCTACCTCACGAAGATGGATGTCGATGAAAATAAAAAGCCATTTTTACCATAGATTTTACATTATGTAGTGGAGTCTGAAGGGAACAATACTCTATATATTTAATAACCTGCACTTGGTATTATTAAAAATAACACTGATGTATGATAAAAAAAAGGGAAAAAGGCAAACAAAGGCCGATGAAAAATAGTATAGTGCTTTATATACTCGATTAAGTAGCTAATTAAATGGAAGTTATTAATGTTAAAAATAACTAAACCAGAGTTTATCAACAAGCTTTATCATTAGCTATCAACACTTACATTATATTTGTTACAAATTAATATCATTAAACGTTTTTGTAACAAATTGAATTTAAAAATTGTTTTGGTAACAAATATTTATGTATAGTGAAAAATTTGTTTAAAAACTGACAAATGGATTGTGTCGAAATTGAATTATCAGATTTGTTAAAGTCCTAAGTAAACGAATGAAGAAAAAAAAATATCTGGGTCTCTGGAGATCAACAAGCCAATTTGTGCACAATGGAGGATGATGTACGTCTTACGTCAAAGAACAAATATGAAATGAAAAGAGTCAATATTTAGATGTGCAAACACTTTGTCTGATCTTCCTATTTTTGATTTTATTTTTCTGCTACGTAATTTTTCTTGGGAATACTTTTATCTCAAGACATTGTGGTATTTATCTTTATATTTGAAATAGCTTCTGTATTTTTTGAATCAATATTGTATAAATATATACGCAAACATACTCAAACAAAGTCTCTAAAGCTTTAAATAAATTAAAAAATTGAAATAAAGATTTTAATAACTTGACTACATGAATATATATAAATATGGTGTAATAATATATTTTCATAGAATATATGATTGGCTCATTCGATCCCAAGAGATAATATCTACCGTCAATAAGAATTGATAAGGCGTACCCGGAGCACTTAAGGGAACATCGTATACCGTCAGACAGTGTCATCTCCCCATTTCTCTGATGGTGTCTACCTAAGTATATATGTATACTCCGACATTTCCTCAAGCACATCGCTGAGTAGCGAACATCAAGTTTGATGATAGCTGAATGCTGCCGCAAATAAAGTATAAGTATAAAGTATATAGTCTACTATGCGCTGTATGTACTGTACTATATTGCACTATACAATTCCATACTATATTATATGATACTATATTGTGTATACAATGCTAGCAAATCGACTTAAGGTAAAATGATACTTGTCTTGAGACTTGCCGGCTCTCAACAAAGTGCTTCAGAGTATCAATGTATCATATTTTAGAGCTATAGCCAGTTTTTTTATTTATATTTAAAAAATACTAAAAATAAAACTCCTTTTGTACCGGAACATCGATGACCTATTTAACAAATTTACCATACAGCTATGGAGAAATTTAGAAAATTTTTATGTTTCCTTCTTTATGCAGGTAATAAAAAGTAAGAATGAGATAATCAAGTCGTAAAAAAAAGAATTCGTTTTTAAAGATATCTTGAATTTTAAAATATTTTCGTGAAGAACTTAAAATATTATGAGAAAAAATTCGATTGTGTATCCTATGCCACTAAATCAACGATCGGGTTTTGAACTTCCTTGTTTATTAATTATTTTGAGTGTCAAACTGTGTAGACCTCAGTTTTTTTTCATTTTCTCGTTTGGGTTTCAACAAATCATCGTACTGAATTGTAGAATGAATAATTACCAAGCATACCTGGCTTGAAATCGACGAAATCAATAACTCTAAGTGACTGACAGCACACAGCTGCTAGATTTAAATTCATCAAATTGTTATCTTTTAAAAAACATTTATTTTTCTTTGATGAATAAAGTAACTACTCGACCGATCGACTTCAAAACCCGATCAGGTTTTCATTTTGACAGACCCTTTAAAACGTCACAAGTCCAATTTTAATTAGTCAATTCATTTAATCTTTGCATTTTAAGGGTAAGAAATTTTTATAGTATAATTCATCTAAAAAAACCTAACTATTCGTCAAAGAAATTGTGTAAGCAAATTTATCAATTTAAGTGATTATTTTCATCTTTGATAATATAATTAATAGAATTGATTATATTTTGACAAGGTCAATTGGTCGAGAGAAAAATAAATTATTTTAGTCTTTATATTTAGAGATTAGCTAAAGTTTTATGAGCCTATAAAACTTCAAGCTTAACTTTTAAACAAATACATTTTATTGTGCATTACGTAATTTAATTATTATTATTATTGTTTTTCATCATCACGTTTTTATTATTGTATACCGTTTGGTTGATATTTTTTCGCTAAACGATAAAAAGTAAATAATGAAAAAAAAAATAATCTCAAGATAAGACTGAAATAAAAACAAAAACGTAAAAAGGAGAAAGGCAGATTAAGTTTTGAAGTTAGGTGATTTTATTTGAAGATGATGATATTCATCAGTCTACCTGTTTAAATATATATACATATTCTTAATGTATAAGAAGAGTGGTTTGGAGTTAAAGTATAAAGTGCTTGGCTTGTCAGCTAGCTAGCTACTAGCATGATCACCCTTGCCACCGGTCGCGGCCGTCACGGCTTCCGCCGGCGCGCGATGATAAATTACGTACTCACAGTAATTGCCTCCTAAGTTATGGTTTATAACGCGTATGAAATATGGTATCGTTCTGCACGCAATTACTGCTCGGTTATTTATCTCGAGTGCCATGACTTGTACCTCAACTCCTCCTTTTCTCCCTCCTTCGTTTCCTCCCATGTTCCACCTTCTCCTCCTCTTGTTACTCCACCACCTTCTCTTTCTCCGCTTTTTGTTCACTGGAGCCACTGCATACTGTCGTAATACTTATTTTCATTTCTATTTTATCAATATTTAAATATTTTTTTAATTTCATTTTCTATAATCAATCATTTATGTTTCTTATGAGAATAGTAATCTTGCGAATAATTCAATTTAGATAGTTTAGTTACGTTCAGTATTTTTGCAGTATAAATCATAATCAGAATATAATTCCATGATTCGTAAATGATAAGAATGATGAGTGAAGTAATTTCAAATTACAGTTACTCTAGTAACAATTATTCTATTAAATACCTATCCTAGTAAAGATACATACTTTCTTGTTAATTGTTAAT